CTCAAAAAAGGTGTGCGTCAGGGCTGTATCCTTTCTCCACACCTATTCAATCTGTACGCTGAATAAGTAATTTGAAAACTGGACTCTATGAAGAAGAATGCGACCTCAGGGTTGGAGGAAAACATTAAAAAACCTTCATTATGTAGATGACACGCCTTGTTTGCGGAAAGTGAGCAGGACTTGGTACACTTGCTGCAGATGATCAAGTTCTATATCCTTCAATATGAATTACATTTCAACATGAAGAAAACAAAATTCCTCACGTCTGAGTCAACAGGCAACATTATGATAGATGGAGAAAAGATTGCTATTGTCAATAATGTCATTTTACTTGGATCCACAGTCAGCACCCTTGGTACCAACAGTCAGGTGATCCAGGGATGCATAGCATTGGAAAAGTCTGCTAACAGAGACCTCCCTAAGCACTGAAGAGAAGAGATGTCCGTTTAAAGATTAAGATGCCCCTGATTCAGAGCTCTGGTGGCCTAGTGGCAAGAAGCTGCACTGAAATCCCAGAGGCTCACAATTCAAATCCACCAGATGCTCTGTTGGGGAAGGAGGGACAATCTCCTCCTGGACCAGTCAGATCTGACAGTACACACACACACACACACACACACACACAATAAAACTTTAAAAATAAATAAATAAAAAGATGCCCCTGATTCAAGCCAGGGTTTTCCAATCACTTGTTATGCATCTGAGAGCTAGACAGTGAGTAAGGATGACAGAAGAAGAATCCATGGCATTGAGTTGTGGTATTGTAAAAGAGTACTGAATATCCATGGACCACCAAAAGAACAGGTATGTCTCAAAGAAAGTGCAGCCAGAGTGCTCCTTGGAAGCAAAGACGGTGAAGTTTGTTTCTCACACCGTGAGCATGTTGTTAGTTAGAAGAGACTGTTCCTTGGAGAGGAGCATCGAGCTTGGAAAGGTGGAAGGGCAGTGGGATGGAATGATCAGGATGGCATAGTATAGGGCAGGGTTTGTTTTTTTGTTCATAGGACCGCTGTGAGTCATACTTGATGGCACCTAACAACAGCAACAACTAAATGGTCAGTGGTTCAAACCCACCAGCTGCCCTACCATCAGTCAGCAGCCGTGGAGACCATGTGGGCATTTTTCTGAGCACAAGGTTGCCCTGTGCCAGCATGAGCACCCCGTGTTTAAGAGCCTCCCACAAAAGATTGTGGGGATTGAAGTGGAAGCTAGATTTTTTTTTATTTAATTTATATTTTATTATTTGTGTGTGTGCGTGTACCGTCAAATCAGATCTGACTGGTACAGGAGGAGATTGTCCCTCCTTTCCCGGCAGAGCATCTGGTGGATTCGAACTGTGCTCCTCTGGGATTGCAGTGCAGCTTCTTGCCACTAGGCCACCAGAGCTCCCCTGAAAGCCAGATCTTCACCTGAGTACCTGGAGACCTGGGCATCTCCGCTACTGGTTGTGGTGGTGGTTGTTATATACCATCAATTTGGCCATGATTCAAAATGACCTTGTGAGTAATAGCTCTGAACCTTGCCCTATCCAGAGCCAACCTTATCATCTGTGACACATCTAACCCCACTGCCACAGTCACTGTGTCAATCCATCTCACCTGGGTCTTCCTCTCCTGCACTGACCCTCCATCCTTCCATGCATGAGGTCCTTCTCCAAGGGTTGGCCTCACTGCTGGAGGCAGCAATATTTTTGGAAGAAGCTACCAAAAGAAGAAGAATAGTTACATGTGCGAGCTCTTTACATTTAACAAAGTAATTGCTAAAGTACTCGGCGGGAAGGGTGAACCTCACTATAATCCCCCTATTCAAATAAGACAACCACAGGACTTATTCAGTTGTTGTTAGGTACCATCGAGTCAATCATGACTCATAGCAACCCTGTGAACAACAGATCTCAACCCAGTTCCATCCTGCACCATCCTCACGCTTCCTGACACACAAGAGCCCTTTGCAGCAGTCACTGTGTCAATCCACCGGGTTGAGGGTCTTCCTCTCCTTCACCAGCCCTCCACCCTTTCCAGCATCATGTCCTTCTCCAAGGAGAAACAACATGCCCAAAGTATATGAACTGAAGTCTCATCATTCCTGCCTCCAAAGACCACTCCGGCTGCACACTCTCCAAGACATACCTATTTTTTCTCTTGGCCATTCACGGGATGTTCAGTGCTCTTCTCCAACACCACAGCTCAAAGGCATCAATTCTTTTTCTGTCATCCTTATTTATTGTCCAGCTCTCAGATGCATAGCAAGTAATTGGAAAGACCATGACCTGAATCAGACACTTCTTAGTCCTCAAACTGACATCATTACTCAATAATTTGGATAGGTCCCTAACTGCAGATTTTCCCAGTACAAGGAATCTCCTTATTTCCTGACTGCTGGTACCAAGGGTGTTAAGTGTGGATCCAAGCAAGATGAAACTGTTGGACAGTTTCAGTCTCCTCTCCATTCATCATGACACTGCCCATTGCTCCAATGGTAAGTTTTCTGCTTGTTTTTTTGTATTTGATGCAAACCATACTGAAGGCTGGTTTCCTTGATCTGCAACAAGTGCTTCAGGCCCTCCTCACTTCCAGCAAGCAAGGTTGTGTTATCTGCATAACACAGATAATTGATGAGTCTCCCTCCAACCCTTATGCCACACTTCTCTTCATAGAGTCCAGCTTCTCAGATAATTTGCTCAGCATACAGATTGAATAGGTATGGAGAGAATACAACCCTGATGCAGTCTCTCCTCAATATTAAACTGTGCAGTCCTCCTCTGCTCTGTTTGCACAACAGCCTCCTGATCCAGGTATAGGTTCCTCATGAGCACAATCAAGTGCTCTAGGATTCCAGTTGTTCTCAATGTCAGCCACAACTTGTCATAATCCACAGTCAAAGTTCTTTGCATAATCAATAAAGCATAAATACACATTCTTCTGGTGTTCTTTACTTTCAGCCAGGATTTATTCTAAATCCACCCCAAATGCATTCTGAACTCTCATCTTTCAATGTGTACATTTGTCTCAGTGACTGTGTCTAATCTTATTGGAAAGAAAAGCTCCATTTTCATGGAATAATGTGAGTGACGATCCCTACAAATGGCCTTCTGATCCTCATTCTAAACCTGCTCCTGGAGGTCTTAGTGGAATAGCTAGAAGCAGCCTTAAATCAGCTGCACTCTGAGAACCAGGCATCCATCAGCTGTAGAATCAGGTCCGCAGTGCTGCATCCTGAAGTTCTGGACCTGACACTCCATGGCAACAGCTTCTCTCTGCACTGGAAAATGATGTCCAGTCAACCTGGTCAGACTGTCAGCAAAACTGATGACATGCCCATGCAGGACAGAGTGGTGGGACTACTCCACAGTTTCTTGGCTGTCATCTCTATGGAAACAGGTTATCAAGCCTTTCTACCTTGCTCCTGCGTGGATTTCTAGGACCAGCTCAAGGCAAACCTGTACTTCCAGGTACAGGGATTATCCATGTTATTAAGTGCTGCCCAGTTAAGTATGACTCATAATGACCCTACGAATAACGGTTCTGAATTCTGTCCTATTCTGTGCCATCCTCATCATGTCTGACACGCTGAAGCCCCTTACAGTCACTGTGTCTTCCCACCTGGCTGAAGGTCTTCCTCTCCTTCGATGTCGCTCTCCAAGGAATAGCCTCTCCTAATACCATGCCCAAAGGATGTGACATGAAGTTTCACCATTCTTGCCTCCAAGAAGCACTCTGGTTGCACCTTCTCCAAGACATACCTGTTCTTTTTTCAGTCCATGGACTATTCCGTACTCCCTTCCAACACCACAGTTCAAAGGCTTCTGTCATCCTTATTCATTGTCCAGACTTCAGATGCATAGCAAGTGATTTTGAGAAGATCGTGGCCTGAGTTCGGTGCCCCTTAGTCCTCCAATTGACATCATTACTCCTCAATGATTTGTTGAACATCCATGGAGGACGTTGATTCATTCCAGTTTGTTGAGAGTGGCCTTGGCTGTGTGGTTCTATATTTTCATCAATGGTTTAGATCATCCAGTTACTGAGCTTCCCTGGAAGTGTCCTGACCAGCACAAGCGCCCTGACCACCCCCAGGAAGCACCCTGACCCTGCCTCATGCGGAGTCCTAGCTCTTCCAGAGTCTGACCTCCCGCCACCCCTGAATGTCACTTCTAACACCCTGACCCCGCCCTGCGGACGCCTCTCCCAGCGCCCTGGCCCCGCCCCATGCAGCATCCTTGCTGCCCCAAACCAACGCCGAGTCTCAGCTCCACCTAGTGTGCTCGCCGCCGCCGTGGACAAGCTGCCCTGCGCCCTGCCCGCGCCCCATGCACGTTTCTAGCCGCCCAGCACCCAACGTGGCGCCTCAGCTCCGCCTAAGTGTGCTGCCCAGAGGCCTGGCCCCGCCCCAGCCCCGCCCCGGAGATGCCCCCGTCCAGCGTCCTGCCCCGGAACACCCCATGTTTTGTTACAGCTCCGCCCCGAGGATGCCCCTCCCTTTGCCCTAAGCCCAATGGCCTAGCTCGGCTTCCTGGACTGCCCCGCCCAGCTCCCTGATCCCGCCCCTTATACGCCCCGCCCAGCTCCCCTGGGACCGCCCATATCTTCAAGTGCCCGCCCCTCTGTCTGGTCCTGGCCCCGCCCCAGCCCCGCCCAGCGCCCTGCCCTCCCCCACCCTCTCGCCCGGGAACCCCCTCATCTCCAAGCCGCGCCCCTCTACCTGGTCCCACCCAGCGTCCTTGCCCCGCCTCGGCAACGCCCACATGTCCAAGCCACGCCCCCCACCTGGTCTTGCCCAGGCCCTGGCCCCGCCCCTGGAACGCCACATCCCAAAGCCACGCCTCTCTGCATGGTCCGGTCCCGCCCCGGTAACGCCCACATCTCAAAGCCCCGCCCCGCCTTGTCCCGCGCTCGCGCTCTAGCCCCGCCCACAGAGCGGTCAGATTCGCCCCCCAGCCGGCCTCGCGCCATCTCCCTGACAACCCGGGACGCTTTCCCCTTAGCAACTCGGACTCCACCATGTCTGAAGAGGCCGCCACTCCAGCGGAGAAAGTTACCCGGACTCAGAGGGTGTTTATTAACCAGCTGGACACGTACAGCAGCGGGAACATCGGGAAGGTGAGCCGCGGGGGCTCCGAGCTGGACCCCAGCCTGGGCTCGCCGCCCGCCCAGTCCTACCCCAGGCCGGGCCTGCGCGCGTGTCTCCAGGGACGATCGGGCCAGGCCGGGCCCGCTGCCCGGAAGCCCAGGTGTCTGCATGCTGCAGGTCCAGCCTCGCCCCCTTTACGGAGGGAAAACAGGCCTCCAGATTAAAGGGCATGTGGCAGCGTGCGCGGGACAGGGTGCAGGTCTCCAGCCCCTAAACAAGCCCTCGGTGCCCCTGCATCTGCGTCAGCAAGAAAATAACTCCCGTGTTGGCGTGGCCTAGTGGCTAGGGAGCTGCGCTGACAACCCGAAGGCAGATGGTTCGAATCCACTAACACTCCTAAGTGACTTGTTCTTAAATACTGTTGCGTCTAGTATTACTCATAGCGACTCTATGAACAACAGATCTGAACCCTGTCCTATCCCGTGCCATCCTCACACTTCCTGACACACTAGAACCCATTGCTGCAGTCACTGTGTCAGTCCACCTGGTTGAGGGTCTCCTTCCTTCACAGTCCCTCCACCTTCCCAAGCATCATGTTCTTCTCCAAAGAGTAGCCTCTCCTACCAACATGTGCAAAGTATGTGAAAGGAAGCTTCTCCAGTCTTACCTCCAAGGAGCACCCTGGCTGCACCTTCTCCAACACATACCTGTTTGTTCTTTGTCCATGGGATATTCAACACTCTTCTCCAGCACCACAGTTCAAAGGCATCAATTTTTCTGTCACCCTTTATTCACTGTCCAGCTCTCAGATGCATAGCAAGTGATTGAAAAGACCATGGCACTTTAATCTTCAAACGGAATGATTTGGTGTGGTCCCTGCTATACACACTTGCCCAGGGCAATACGTCTCCTGACCTATCTCTCTCTCCTTTTTTCTACTTCACATGATAAACTGCTTTATTTGATATTAGGAGGGCCAGTAGCCCTCTTACCTTCCCTGGTCCTGGTGGCATTGCCTGCAGGCTTGGACATGAGCGACCCACTTACTCTGAGGGAAGACAAGTGTGATCAGGAAGCCCTCCTGATCTCATAACTGCTGGTACCAAGTGTTTTGCTTGCAGATCCAGAAAAGGTGAAGTCATTGACAGTCTCAGTCCTTTCTCCATCCATCGTGATGTTGCCTTTTGGTCAAGTGGTGAGGATTTTTGTTTTCTTGAGGTTGAGACGCGATCCATATTGAAGGCAGCGGCAAGTGCTCCAAGCCCTCCTCACTTACAGCAATCCATGTAACGAAGGTTATTGGTGAATCTTCCTCCAGCCCTGATGCCACATTTTCTTCACAGAGTCCAGCTTCTTGAATCATTTGCTCAGCCTCTAAGTCATATAGGTAAGGAGAAAGGATGCAACCTTGATGCTCACCTTTCCTGATTTTAAACCATGCAGGGTTCCCTTGTTCAATTGGCATAGCATCCTTTTTGGTCCAGGTATAGGTTTTGCCTGAGCACAACTAAGGGTTCTGGGATTCCCGTTCTTCTCAATGTTGGTCATACTTTGTTATGATCCACGCATGTGTCCTCAAGATCCTGCCTCACTAGGGAGGAAATACTTTTTTCAAGTGTGTACTGTATGTGTTTAATTTATTTGTATAGCAATATATTCTGATTGGATCACCTTTCTTTGGAATGGGCACAAATATGGTCTGTTCCAATCTGTTGTCCAGGTAACTGTTGTCCAAATATCGTGGCATAAATTATTGCAGACACCCCTAGTTGCATCTGTTTATTGAACCATGTCAGTTTATACTCCAGTAACTCCTGGATACCTATCTGTTGACTATATCTTCAGTCAGTGCAGCTTGGATTTCTTCTTTCAGTGTCACTGGTTTGTGATCAAATGAAGAAATTACCAGACAGTATCATTCGTATCAAGGAGCGCTGGTGGTATAGTCTGTAGGAAATTGTGGTGCTCACCCAAAGGCGGTCCCTCCCTGGCCGTTCTGGTCCACCAGCAGCATGTCAGGGCCCAGCTGGGCTGTGTCCTCCTGTGCAACCTGCTGTCTCCCGAAGACAAGCTGGAGGGTCACTTATGAGCAGCTTCCAACTTGTTGGCAGTGAGAGTGAATCATTAACATCACATGCAAGTAAAGTTTGCTAATTGGAAAATAATTAAAGAGTTGCAGCCGTACAACGACAGAGAAGTGTCAGACATTCAAGCCAGATTCCAGAAGAGGATGTGGAACAAGAAATATCATTGCTGATTTCTGGGAGATCTCGGTTGAAAGTGGAGAACAACAGGAAGATGTTTACCTGCGTTTTGTGGATCATAATGAATTATGGAAAACAACGAGAACTATGGGAGTCTCAGAATATTGACTGTCCTCATGCAAAGACCAAGAAGCAGTCGTTTGCACAGATCAAAGGGACACTGCCTGCATGGTTTAAAATCAGGAAAAATGTGTGTCAGTGTTGTTTTCTTCCACCATATCTATTCAGTCTGTACATGGAACAGATAATCTGAGAAGCTGATCTAAATGAAGAATGAATGTAGCATCAGTACTGGAAGGAGACTCGGTAACATCTAGAATATGCAGCTGACACAGCCGTGCTTGCTCAAAGGGGAGAAGACCGGAAGAGGAAGAATGTGAAGATCAAAGACGACAGTGTTAGGTCTGGATTAATCTTCAACATCAAGGAAACATGGTCCTCACAGCTGGACCAACAGGCAGCATTTATTAGAAGCAGAAAAAGATGGAAATTGTAAAACATTTCATTGTACTTGACTCCACAATCGACAGCGATGGAAGTAGGAGGCAAGAAATCAAACAATGCATTATGCTGGGGAATATCTGTTATAAAAATCCTCTTTTCGGAAGTAGCTATGGTGCGGTTCAAGCACAGGTACCTGCTGCGCGAACTGGTGTCCGACGATCCCCGCTGCCGTCTGAGCCTGGAGGACCGAGTTATAGACGGCCTCGTCCGAGACACGATCGCCAGAGTGCACGGGA